TCCCTGCCGCCGCCTCCACCGCCGCCGGGGGCAGCCAGGCAACGGGCGGGAACAGGGTCAGCTCCGCGTTCTAGTTCCTCAGCACTCTGGTTACTGGCACTCGGACCCAGGCTGCCTGACTCCGCGATGAAGCCCCGTCTGTGCGCGTCCTCCAGGTGCCCAGGCTCCGCCCTCCGCCCGTGTGCCTTTCACCAGGACGGTCTCCTGCTGCAGAGTGAGACTGACCTGGGGCCCGCAGACAGGCGGCTGCCCCGGGAGAGCTCTGGGACAGGCCAGCTGCGGGGCAAGGAGCAGACGGGCTGGCCCCTCCGGCCCGGGCAGTAGTACCTCCTCCAGAGACCTAGGCCGGGTGCTGTGGGTCCTGGGTTCTGCAGATATCTGTTTTGGAGACCCGGATCCCAGCTGCTGGAAAATGCCCAAACTCCTGTTAGCCTTGTTCTTGGTAGCCTGCCTCAAATGTCCACCGGCTTTGCCTTACTCAGAGATGCCGGGTGCCCCCCCCCCACCCAGTGCAGGGGGGACTCTCTCAGTAATGACAGTGATGTGGTCAGATGGGAAGGGACAGGGGACGTGTCACCACGTGCCAGGAACTCTGCTGAGTTCTTGGTATTTGTCATCGCTTATTCCTTGTAACACCCTAAGAGACAAGTCTTGTGTTTCCTCTGACACACGGGGAAGTAAGTTTGACAATTTAAGAAAGTTGCCCAAAATGACCTCATTTGCCCAAATAGTTAGTGTCAGGGACAGATTTGGATCAGAGTCTTTCTTTACCTAAAGTCTCTACTTTTAACCAGTCTGGTAGTTTAGTCACTCAGTCATGTCTGACTCTTGGGACCCCGTAGACTGTAGCCCATCAGGCTCCTCTGTGCATGGGATTCTCCAGGCAAGAGAGAACCCACTGAAGTGGGTTGCCATTCCCTCCTCCAGGGGAGGGGATCTTCCGGACCCAGGAGTTGAACCCAGGTCTCCTACACTGCACGCAGATTCTTTACTGACTGAGCTATGAGGGAAGCCCAGCCTAGTAAACTCTCTTACGGCTTTTGGGTCATTAATTGATCAGGCTCAATTAATGCATGCATGGCTGTAATCACACCTCAATTTTACTCAAAAACAGGCTCATAACTCTAAGTTACAGCTTTACTATTTGTGTGGATTCCCACAAACATTTAAAAAAATTTTTTTTTTTCATTTATTTTTATTAGTTGGAGGCTAATTACTTTACATCATTGCAGTGGTTTTTGTCATACATTGAAATGAATTAGCCATGGATTTACATGTATTCCCCATCCCAATGTTGCAATCATGGGGTTCATAAGACTTTGATTCCTTCCTTTCAGTTAAAGTTACATTTTAAGAACTTTCCCATAGAGTCATCATTTTAAAGACCCTACATTCCAGCCAGTACATCTCCCTCAGTCTCCTCAACTAGACTGTGATGGGTATAATAATGGTCCCACAAACTATGTCCACATCTTCATGCCTAAAACCTGTGAATATATTACCTTTTAAGTGGCTTAGTGGGAAAGAATCCACCTACCAAGCAGGAGATGCGGGTTCAGTCCCTGGTCGGGAAGACCCCTTGGAGACGGAAATGGCAACCCACTCTAGTATTCTTAGCTGGGAAATCCCAAGGATGGAGAAGCCTGGTGGGCTTAAGCCCATGGGAACACAAAAGAGTTGGACACAACTTAGCAACTAAAAAAAAAAAAAAATGGCAAAAGGCGCTCTGCAGGTGAGATTAATAACCCAACTAAGAAGAGAAGAGTGTCCTGTATTATCTGGGTGGCCCAGTCTAATCAGAAGGATGCTTATAAGAAGGAATAGGAGCATCACAGAGATGTGATAATGTAAACCAAGTTTGGAGTGATGAGGGACCATGAGCCAGGGTATGTGGTAGTCTCTAGAAGCTGGCTGGAAGGCAAGGAAAGGCAAGGAAAAACAGGGTCTCCCCTAGACCCTCCCACGTAAGTGCAGCCTTGGCAACACCTTGATTTTAGCCCAGGGAGTCTCGTATTGGACTCAGATATCCAACTGCAAGATAATAAATGTGTGTTGTTTAAGCCACTGAGTTTATGGCATTTGTTACAGCAGCAAGAAGAAACTCATACACAGACCCTGCTTGTCTGATCTTGGCAGCCTCCCTCCTCCCTGCCAACGGGGACACTTCCCAGCTAATGTTTGTTTGTCGTTGTTCAGTCACTCACTCGTGTCTAACCCTTTGCAGCCCCATGGACTGCAGCGCACCAGGCTTCCCTGTCCTTCACCATTTCTTGGAGCTTGCTCAAACTCATGTCCATTGAGTCGGTGATGCCATCCAACCATCTCATCCTCTGTCATCTCCTTCACCTCCTGCCTACAGTCTTTCCCAGCATCAGGGTCTTTTCTAATGAGTCAGCTCTTTGCATCTGGTGGCCAAAGTATTGGAGCTTCAACTTCAGCACCAGTCCTTCCAATGAATATTCAGGGTTGATTTCCTTTAGGATAGACTGGTTCAATCTCCCTTCAGTCTAGGGGAGTCTTCTCCAATGCCACAGTTCAAAAGCGTCAATTCTTTGGCACTCACCCTTGTTTATGGGCCAACTCTCACATCCATACATGACTAGTGGAAAAACCATAGGTTTGACTATACAGACCTTTGTTGGCAAAGTAATGTCTCTGCTTTTTATATGCTGTCTATGTTTGTCATAGCTTCCTTCCAAGGAGCAAGTGTCTTTTAATTTCATGGCTGCAGTGACCATCTGCAATGATTTTAGAGCCCAAGAAAATAAAGCCTGTCACTGTTTCCATTGTTTCCCCATCTATTTGCCATGAAGTGATGTTCATTGCATGTTGTTATATTTTGAGCATTGTGCTATTTAGGTCACTTCACCTTTTTCCAGGAACTCTGTGAAGTAAGCCCCACTATCTCCACTTCATAGCAAGGAGCTAAGGGATATGGAATCACTTGCCCAAAGTCACACACATAGTTAGAGAACCTGGGACTTTGTGGTCTGATTCCACTGACCACTGATATCTTGGTTATAGGGACCGTCTGGGTCTGGGTGGAAGAGGAGCAACTGCCTTGGACCCGCTCATTAACGATCATAACTAGGGTTATTTACCGAGCATTAACCCCACATCCCACCCCTGGTAACATACGGAACCTGTAGCGTACGGATTGCAAGGCTGGGAAGGAGGTGTTATTACCTGCATTTTAGGGATGAAGACTCTCATCCATAATGTGGAGGGAGGGCGAGCATCTCCCCTCTGCAAGTGAGCTTGGGGTCAAGCTGGGATGCAGACCAGGCTGATCTGGCCCCAGGCCTGTGCTGACTGCGGAGTTCTTAAACACAGATCAGAGCCAGGAAGATTTCCGTCTTCATCAGCTTTATTGTCAGTTCATCATGATGCATCGACTCTGCACAGAAATCCATGACATCTTTCAGGTCCTATATTTGTGCTTCACAGGAAGTAATCTGTGCACATCATCTTGGATGAACATCTCTGTCACTCAGTACCCGGCTCAGATGGGGACACAACCACACGTCTGGGTGGATCTGATGGGGGCTCTGTTGTCACCAAGGATGAGACGAGACGTGGATACATTTTGGACGGGTCAGTGGTGGCCCTTGAAATTGCCATATCCTGATGCTTTTGCAAATCTGCCAAACTTGAAAATGCTATAGCATATCATTTCCCCCATAAGATGCTTTAAATTTTATCTAAATTCTTTAATAAACCCTTCTCATGAACTGATAAAGAGGCTAAATTAGAGAGCTGCTTTCTTAGATATCTTCATTCTCGTCATCAGCACAGCAGCTGGGAAAGCATTCTTTGTAGCCTTTTGGAAAATCACTCTGCTTGGAATAACTGCATTGTGAAGGCAACGCTGTAACCCAGGGCTGTGTTACAGTGAAGGCTGATCACTACCCACCTTCTTGTGCTTGACTCACATTCCTGCATCGGCAGCAAGACACCAGGCAGACATCCTGATACTGCAGGCTTGCTTTGCAAAGTGCGATTTCCTTTTCCTCAGCTTTCCATGAGGGGTGCAGGGCAGGTTGGGTGGATGAGGAAATTCCATAGAGCGATTCCATAGACTCGTCCATCGTTTCCAAGCTGGTGGATGGTGGAGCCAGGACCTGAGCCCAGGTTCTACAGTTATTGGCCACTGCGGTGTGCACATGGACCTGAAGGTATTCTCAGCTGTTGCTGTGGCCGGTGTTTATGTGGAGGGTGGCCCCCAGTGTCTCATTTTTTCCTCACAATGTCATCACAAAATTATCCTCAGATATTCCAAAGCAACTTCCGTATCAATGTTTGAGTTGCTCACAGCTCCTTCCAGAGTGATTGTGTTAAGAGGTTGGGTGAAAGTTGATCTTGCAGTCAGGCTTTCTTAACTCCAGGGATGTTGAGAAATCCATAGATGTGATTTTGTCTTCTGCTGGGTTTCTGTCTTCTGCTGGGTGCAAACTCAGAACACAAGTGAATGTGTGAAGGCTTAACTTGTTCACTTATTAATATTACCGAGTCTGGGGACATAAAGCAACAGTATGGAAGAAGGCATCTTGCAGCCTGATAAACTGAATAACAGTGAACTCAGAGCCTCCATGGAGTGGGTGGAGTGGATGAAGGGAACAGACAAGGTTTTTATCATGGGTCCGAGTAGCCTAGATTCACTATTGGTTCATATAATACTTGTGTGTTAAGTCGCTTCAATCATTTCCGACTCTTTGTGACTCCATGGACTGTAGCCCACAACGGTCCTCAGTCCATGGGATTCTCCAGGCAAGAATACTGGAGTGGATTGCCATCCCTCCTTCAGAGGGTTGTCCCTGACCCAGAGATCGAACCTGTGTCTCTTATGTCTCCAGCATTGTCAGGCAGATTCTTTACCACTAGTGCCACCTGGGAAGCCCATAATACTTGAGTAGGTGACATTAAATTTTATAGTAAAGTTATATACTCCCCTTTATCCTTTCATATACTAAAAAGTAGCAATATTATTTCCTTTTGCCTAGGATTACGGGACAGCCAGTACAGTCCCCACGATCAAATTGCCCTTAAAAGCCTCCAGTCTGATGTTCCAGAGAGGAGATCTGACTTCACTGAGGTAACATATGTTTCTAACTCCTAGAGTAGTCAGCAAAATGCAGCCAACTGTAAAACGTGATCACTGGCCTACTTGTGATATGTTTGCATTTTATTTTGTTTAGTCAAAAGTGGGATCAATGCAGCAGAAAATCTAACCATCATGACTAAGACTTTACATTTAAGTATGCAGTGTGTATTCATTCATCCTTTTATAATCTTGACCAATAATTTATAGATTTGCACTATCAAAGGAGAGTATGGTGATCAAATCTCAACTTTAAGCCAAAATTAATCTGCTGGAGAGGAAGGATGATGCCATATGGCATTTTGAAGGTGGAGAAGAGGTAATTTGAAATCTAACAAGCTAGCACAGGTTGTTATAACTGCAAAAAATGTCAGCGGTCTCACACAGGGAAGAAAATTAGAGGTCATATTTACAAAATGAAATGTTTCTGATGCTAGACAATAAAGAACTCTGTGTACACAGTGGTAATGTTGACAGCATACCACATGCCAGGCTCTGTCTAACTGAGTTTTTTCACCTTACCACAATCCCAGGAAGGAGAGACCACTGGCTTTCTATGTCCATGGATTCTTCTTCTGTGGGTTCACCCAACTGTATTTTGAAGCTATTTGGGAAAAGGATCCCAGAAAATTCTAAAGAGAAAAACTTGAACATACTGCATGCCAGTTTATATATCAATATAACATTTACATTGTATTGCAGGCTACAAATGATCTAGAGATGATTTGAAGTAAATAGGAGGATGTGCATAGGCTATATTACAAACACCCTGAAATTTTACACATGGGACTTGAGCATCCTTGGCTTCTGGTATCTGAGGAGGTGGAGTCCTGGAACCAACCCCCATTGGATTCTGAGGGACAACTGTATTGTTATTATTATATCTATTTTGCAGATGATAAAATGAAAGCTTTAGTAGCTCCAGTAGTTGACTGGCCCCAGATCTCACAGCTCATAAGCTGTCTGGCTCCAGAGCTTTTGTTCTGATCTTGCTCAACAGGGCTGGTGTAGAGAAAGTCTCATTCCAGTGAACAGAACTTGAACTATGGACTTTCCTGCCTGAGAGAATTGTCTGATGTGTTTCAGTTTACAAGGCATTTCTTGTCTTTCACAAATGATAATTCTGCTGCCAACTTTTGTAATTATGAGAGAGAGTGAAATTATAAGAATTGATCCCTCATAGCATTAATGTAGCCAAGGTAAAAAATAATTTTGCACCCTAAATACTCATCTTAGGTATTATGTTTTGATTTAACTTTGTGTTTAATAAAGTCCAACATTTCCTCAGAGATACCAGGCTGAAATCTCACACAATGGATGAAGGCCACTCTTCTGGGTCTTGAGATTTAGTTGTCAATATTTAAGGCCATTTCTATGTGGACCACAGAGCTCCCTATCTGAGATGTGCAGATGTGTAACTATAATTAATGTGCTCCCTGAAAGCAGGAACAGGAACCCGGGCTGCAGGGAGGGAAATGACTTGGAGGAGCCATAGACCCCTGAGAACCATCCCTGGGAGAGATGTCCATTGAGAGGTGGAGGATGATGTGAAGGTCAGCTGCTACTTTTTTAACAGGAAAGATACTGTCTAAAGATCTTTCCCACCTGTTTTTCACATTGAGCTGGTAAATTTCAGCATTTTTCTGGTTGATGTTAAAATTAATCAGTTTGGTCATTCACAATACAGATCTTTGGACCCATCTGGCTGGATCTCAATAATACACACACACATTCATATACTCACACTTGGTCATTATCTATAACTGGGCTAACTCTCAGAGACCACACCTTCTAAACATCTACTTTGCAATGATCCGGATCCTCTGCTTTGATCATGACAGTAGTGTGACTTTCAAATTTCCCTCCTAACTTTGAGCTCTTAAGGCTTGTCCCTGGATGGGGGTTATAATGATGCTCTAAGATGATGAAACACTCCAAACGGGTACCCTTCCTTTGTAACCATGATAAATCTCCACCTCTCCTCCCAAGCCTTCACAAGATTGATCACTTTTCCTTTCAGATTCATTGAAGCCATAGAAATGATATGCATGCACTTCTCCAGCCAAGTGATTACTTAAAAGGAATGAATTATGGAACCGAGTTTTCTTTAAAAAAAATTTTTTTTTAATTTTCCTGATAGCAAAAATAATGGCAATTTCATATAGACACTTAGGAAAATGTAGGAATATGTAAATAAGGAAATTCTTATGTATTTCTTTCCCTTATTTTTCTCTTGCATTTTTAAGCATGCAACTGTAATGTATATCAACATTTATAGTGTTCTTGTATTATATAACATTCTATCACAGGCAACTTCCCATATCATTTAAATTCTTTGTAATCCTTAGTTTTAATTTCTGCAGAATATGAGGCAGTCGTGCATGCCATGATTGACTTACCCAATCCGCTTTGAAGAAACATTTAGATTCTTGCCAGATTTTCACCGTCATATATTACACTGCATTGAATCCTTTGGATTCTACTGAATGTGTGGAAAGATAAGAGCTGCAGGCTGGAGAGGGAGAAAATCTCCAATTTTTCCATTTTGTCTTAAAACCATCTTTCCTTATTGTTACCTGCCAGAGGAACATTTGAAAACACTCTTACATTTAGGATGAGACGCCGCTGGGTTGGCAGATGACCTAGAGAAGATGATTTTAGATCTCCCAAGCCAGAGTGAGCATGCTTGCAATTGATGCAAAGGTAACTACGGAGTGTGTCTGTTGGGGGGCGGCAACAGAAGCTCCACTGGCAAATAGAGTTGTAGTTTGCAGAGCAGCTATGGAAAAGGAAAGAACTGTCTCATGGAGAATAATACAGATTTCAAAGCTATAGATTGGATTTGATGCTGATCCAAATTCATTTGGAGAAAATAAATTGCTCCAGGAATAGAAGCACCCTTACTCCTGTGGTTCAGGATCTGATCTTCCTGCTCACCTGCTGTTTATCTCTCTCATCCTTCAATTTATGAAATGAAGCCCTTCTTAGTAGTATGCCTTAAGGCATAAATATAAAGTTAAAAACAATCAATAAAATACATAAAGCTATGAAAGTCGTTATCAGCACTACAGAATCATGTTTGAAACATTTAAAAGAAATCGATGTCTTAAGGCAGCATTTATGAACGAGAGAGTGTTGTGTGGGATGGTCAGGAAAGGGATGATTTACTACCAAAAGCCTGACATAAAACCCAACTCACCTGACCTCTCTCTGACCTTGAATGTTCCACTTTACACACGAGATTATTTTCTTCCTCTCCAATCAACTCTTACATCAGTTAATTTTATATTAGATAAAAGACATCTTGTTTCAAAGCCATGTTCAGCTAACCAAGGACAGATGGAGTGACACCTTGAAACAGCTTAATTGGGGAAGATGTTTGATGTAAAAGATGTGATTACTTTTTAAGAAAGTTTGTCCTGTTTGAAAAGCGCTAGCTGGATAGGCATACCAAGTGGCTTGTCTGTCTCTTCTCTTTCTTGGTTTCCCAGCCCAGAAGAGAGCAGGACGTGATGCGACGTAGTGGAGTCTGGTATGGACTCCACTGTGCCCCCCGACAAATGTATATGCTGAAGTCCTCACTCCTAGAACCTCAGAGGGTGTGTTTAGAGCAGGGTCTTTAAAGAGACGATTCGGGCTCAATGAGGTTGTTGGGGAGGAGGGGCCATCATCTAATATGACTGGTGTCCTTGTAGGAAGAGTTTAGGACATAGATACATGCAGAAGGAAGGCACTCTGAGGACACCCGGGGAAGGCTCAGAGCTGCTGGCACCTTGATCTTGAACTTCTAGGTTCCACCTGCTGCTGCTGGGTCACTCAGTCGTGTCTGACCCTTTGTGACCTCATGGACTGTAGCCCACCAGGCTTCTCTGTCCATGGGATTCTCCAGGCAAGAATACTGGAGTGGGTGGCCATGCCCTCCTCCAGGGGATCTTCCTGACCCAGGGATCAAACCTGCATCTCTTAAGTCTCCTGCATTGGCGGGCAGGTTCCTTACCATTAGTGCCCCCTGAGAAGCCCTCTAGAACTGTGAGAAAATAAAAATGTCTGTTGTGTAAGCCACACAGACTGTGGTGCTTCGTTAGAGCGGCCCTGGGAGACTAAGATTGAGCTTTAGGAGTTTAGACCTTATTTTTTGTGGTTTACTAGGTCTCAATGTAGACTAGATAGACAGAGAGCCTGATGAACTATGGACGGAGGTTCGTGACACTGTACAGGAGACAGGGAGCAAGACCATCCCCATGGAAAAGAAATGCAAAAAGGCAAAATGGTTGTCTGAGGAGACCTTACAAATAGCTGTGAAAAGAAGAGAAGTGAAAAGCAAAGGAGAGAGGGAAAGATATTCCCATTTGAATGCAGAGTTCCAAAGAATAGCAAGGAGAGATAAGAAAGCCTTCCTCAGAGATCAATGCAAAGAAATAGAGGAAAACAACAGAATAGGAAAGACTAGAGATCTCTTCAAGAAAATTAGAGATACCAAGGGAACATTTCATGCAAAGATGAGTTCAATAAAGGACAGAAATGGTATGGACCTAACAGAATCAGAAGATATTAAGAAGAGGTGGCAAGGATACACAGAAGAACTGTACAAAAAAGATAATCACGACCCAGATAATCACTATGGTGTGATCACTCACCTAGAGCCAGACATCCTGGAATGTGAAGTCAAGTGGGCCTTAGAAAGCATCACTATGGGCAAAGCTAGTGGAGGTAATGGAATTCCAGTTGAGCTATTTCAAATCCTGAAAGATGATACTGTGAAAGTGCTGCATTTAACATGCCAGCAAATTTGGAAAACTCATCAGTGGCCACAGGACTGGAAAAGGTCAGTTTTCATTCCAATCCCAAAGAAAGGCAATCCCAACAAATGCCCAAACTACTGCATAATTGCACTCATCTCACACGCTAGTAAAGTAATGCTCAAAATTCTCCAAGCCAGGCTTCAGCAATATGTGAACTGTGAACTTCCAGATGTTCAAGCTGGTTTTAGAAAA